AAGCAATGGAAATCCTGAGAGAATTACAGCATGAAGAGTAATGTGGCAAAAGCCTTGAAGCTTGAAGAAGAAAAGACTCCCTTGCACAAGTTCTTTGCTACATTCTGTAAGACAAAATCATGAGTCACAGTTGGCTCAAATCTTCTTAATTTGCTACTAATAAAGACCTGGAACACTGCGTCCACCCCTGGGGCCCCCAGCATAAGAAGGGTATGGACTTGTTGGAACAGGTCCAGAGGAAGGCACAACGATCATCGGGGGGCTGGAGCACCTATGCTATGAGGAAAAGCTGAGAGAGTTGGAGTTGTTCAACCTGGAAAAGAGAAGGCTCCAAGGAGACCTCAAAGCAGCCTTTCAGTACCCAAATGGTGCATACAGGAAGGGGGAGGGACTCTTTATCAGGGAGTGTAGCAATAGGATAAAGGGCAAAGGTTTTAAACTGAAAGAGGGTAGATTTAATGTTAGAAATTCTTTACTGTGGGGAGGGCGAGACACCAGAACAGGTTGCCCAGAGAAGCTGTGGATGCCCCACCCCTCGAGGTGTTCAAGGGCACCTTGGATGGGCCTTTAAGCAACCTGGTCTAATGGGACATGTCCCTGGCCATGGCAAGGGGATCAGAACTAAGATCCCTTTCAATTCTAACCAATCTACGATTCTAATTCAGGGAAAAAGCTCACCTCTGTTTAAGTAACATGTTTTATTACCTGCTATTTACAGAATGGCAGGCAGCCGATAAAATTCTCAGTAGAACTCTGCATCCTCACATAGTTTGCAAATCATTTTATTTTCTCTCTCTGAATAGTACAATGCATTGTCAAATTAGTTTCTCCCTTCCTTCAACTGGCAATTTATTATATCAATCCTCTTAAGTGTTTAAAAATTAACATAAAAATCCCTATTCGGATTCCTTTAAATAAAAGGTAAGCACACACAGCATTGTCTCACAACAACGGAATTAATCACATATCAATTTTCAACAGCTACATTTGGAACAAAAGCAGCTTTGATGCAGAATATATTCAAAAGTTATATACAGTCAGGCAGAATATCAGAGATGTATCTTCACTCCTTCAGCACCACAACAAAAAAAGACAAAATGTCTTTAACACGTTAAACTTTGAAGGAATGTGCTCAATAAAGAACACCGATTTATTAAACGTAAGCGGCACGATTGCCAATCGATAGCCTTTGGTTTATATTGTTTTTAATTCACAGCTAGCAATGCAATTTATCAGTCCCCTTTTGGCCCAGGTCATAAAGGCTACAGACTTTTCATGGCATGGAATGGAAAACACCAGTGCAGTGCTGTCTAACCTCCCATGAAAAGGCAAAAAAATCCCAACGGGTATTACTGCAATTGAAATATAATGTCCCAATGACTAAGGGAGATTCTGAAGAGCAGATAGCTAAAGGCAAAAAAAGTACATCGGAAGTAAGAAGCTCTTGAGATTGAGGGGCTTGCTGATCTACTACACATTTCAAAAAGGACTCAAAGGTAAAGACCACAGCAAGTCAGCAACAGCAGATGGTAATATTCTGACAGGATTTTAATACAGTGGTAAGTTTTAATCACTGCATCTTAGCAGTTCACACACCTGATTCTTGACAGCCAGAGGGCAGAAAACATTGCCAGAAGCACTAGAGGTGATTTGGGGAATCACAGGCACACCGCCTTTATTTCAGGCTTAGCATTTCATACAAATTACATCAGAACTAAATATACACTGGAATGTAGCTTCCCTGCAGCTAAACAACAACAGTACTTGGTTGATTAAAGCACCAGAATGTGCTATAATCTTTGAGATTGACTCACTGTATTAAAAAATACTACTTGTGAGTGAGCTGCAAGATGAACACACTGTTACTGTAAATATAAGCTGCAGTTCCTACTGTAAAAAACACCCAAAACCTAACTACATTGTGCTGTAAAAGAAAAGTTGGGTTTATTTCATTTAATCCTGATACATATACATACAGAAGTACAAACACACATATATTACTTTTTATGGAATGTATGAAGGAAAGGTATATTTTTTCAGCAAAATGGTAACCAAGCACTTCTAGCTTTAGATTACATTCTGCAACAACAACAAAAAAAAACATAGCCAGATAATATTTTATGAAAATAGGAATTCTACTACGTATTATTTTATGAACTTCTGGATTGAAAAAATATTCAGTGAATAAAATCTACCTATGTTCAGAACCTCTTTCCATTACATAATTCCTATCCTAAAGAAAAACGTGAGATCTGCAAAGGTTTGTGCACTATGCATGTAGTCCTATGTATAAACTACGCTAATAATCAATTTAAGTGCATACTGCATTTACATCAAAACCTAAGAATATACAGCTTGCCACTGAAGCTTACAATTCTCCAGCTCTCTAATGAAAGATGATCAGATTCCAATGAATGTGCTTCAACAAGACAGTGCCCACCTTACAGTGTGACAAGGAGCACTGGCATGCTGGAGACCTGTGCACACAGGACATTTCAGATGCAAAAACCTGGAGAGAAACGTACAACAAAAGAGTTGATACCCACCATACTGCTCTTAACTGAGTAGATTTTCAATTCGTTTTAATACCAGTACCTTTGTTCAACATCACTATTGCTACAACATATGGTGAGTGCCTTAAAGGAGCCATGACTCAAACCTTCAACACTTTTTACAGGTCATGACTAACACTGGATTACAGTCACCAAAAAACAGGAAGCTTAAATTCACTAAGAAGCCAAGGTGAGGAAAATAAATAATCAAGCCATCCACTTCTAGGCTGGACACAGCTTCTGAGCAGTCCTTTTATGTAGTATGAAGCAGATACTAAAAATGGGAAGGAATAGGATCAGCCTCAGTCACGTATTGCCTTAGAGAATGAAAAAAAGTACGTAGCCAGAGTATTAATAATGGAATAAGAGGGAAGCTTTTTAGAAGGAAGGGGGAAAAGTATCTCTGAACAAGCTGTGCCCATTGTGGTATTCAACTGGATGTGACAGTGCTAGTTTTCAGAGACTCACAGATGCTAGGAACTAGAACTTCCTTACGAACAGCATGTTACCAATTAAACGGCAGAAAGCCTATTTTACACTAATAACCTTTTTTTCTGCTTTCTTTATGCCAGAAGCTTGGCCTATTTTGAAGTTGGTTTACATTGAACCTATTTGAGTATTACATTACTACACATGAAATATACAGCAAAGACTAAGCCATAACTATGCACGCTCAAAAATATGTCTGGGAAAATAACCTTAATCCTTGACCAATGTTTAATAGATAAGACAGAAAAGTGGAAATTATTATGTTGCATGTATAAATGCAATGTTTCTTAAAGTCTAGAATCTAGCTTCTGGTAGATATCTGGAAAAATTGCAATATCATGGTTTGTCAGTGAAAAATATGTTCACAGGACCATTCTCTGTATAAAACGTATTGTCCCATACTGTGTGCCACTGCCCTACAGACAGGTAAGCATAGCCTTTTTCAGTAAACCTTATATTAATCATACGTGACTCTTAGCTAGGATATCTTTGCCATTAGTTAAAAAGCAACATGAATTAATAATATAATATAGTCTAGAAGAAGCTATGAAAAGTAAAAGTAGATGCCATCCTAGTGTGCAGTATGTTTTCAAGTGGAAACTTCATTACACAAGTTGCAGTTCAGAAAAAAGCAAGATCCTTTTGTTCTGCTAGATAATGCAATACTCCTGCCTCCCAAAAGGAACTGTAAATATTACTGTGAAGCTATATTAATTGTGCTGAACTTATATAATTAGGTTTGTAAATCAAAAATGCCTTGACTATTTAGTATTTTTCGTGCCTTAACCACTACAACTAACTTTACAGAAGATACTCTGATATACTCACTATATACCTTTCATTGTAGGCAATGGCCTTATTTTCTTCACCCTCTAGTCATTTTCTGTTATTCAGCAAGATTCAGACCCAATTCAGCTCTGGAAGAAAACTGTGTCTACAGTATTATACCCCTGCAAACAGCCAAGGTGAAGCAGGAAGACAGCAAAGGCAAGTGCAATGATGACAAAGTGTTTGTGTAACTGAAGGCACAGACAAAAAAAGTTCAGGCCCTTACCTTACACAATTCATCTCAGATAATATTTCAATGCCTAACAAGCAATCTGTTATTATATTGAAATATTCTGGTGTAACGAACTTAGCAACCTGTGAAAGTGAGAACAGTCACCTCTTGTGCTTTAGGTTTGTTTCTACTTGGCTTGGTTCTATTTAATAAAGTAATTACAAACTTCTGAACAAACGTGATTTTTCTGCCAAATTCACCCTCTTTTTATTGTTGTTTTTTTTTTTTTCTTCTGGCTTGATGTAGTATGCTCTGACTGCATTTCTACAAAATGAGCTGTAAATATTACAGTAAATATTGCAGTTATTAGAGATCAGTATTACTGAGAACTAAACCAACCATTTTCCTCTGAAAATCAATAAAAAATTTCTTGCCGGCTTTGGAATACTTTCCTTTATCTTGTTATAGATTTTTGTCTCTGGGTGAGCTTATTGCAGCTTTTTATACTCCGAAGAAAGTTGGTGGCATATTGCTGTTTGAAACTAATATCAAATTTCAAAGTAACAGGTAACAACTTCAGGGGCTGAGAGAAACAATCTTTAGGTCAACTGCATGAACCCCCAAAATGATACAGAACATAAGAGAATACTGTAGAACATTTTCACACAAGGATGGCAAACTGCATGTACAAACATGGATAGAGGAAAGAGGGAAAATTACATAAACCATTTTTCCATAGGAGTTCTGACAGGATAACTGTGCCATCTATCTGCACTTCCATACAGAGAAGTTACAGGTCTTAATCTAGCTGTTCACCTACTTTTTCATATGCAGGTTTATCACTTTTGCCATTTCTACGTTACCAACACATCTACATGTTATTTCTAATCAAGAATACTTGTTATGAGTTTTGTGAGACTATATAATACATAAGCACTTACTATCCAAAGAAGTCTTACCTGCTACCAAGGATTGGCTCCCCAGAGGCTCCCAAAGCAGAATAGTCCATGCCATAGAAATTCAGCCCTAGAAGTATTTTATTCCTCCATTTTGAATCAGGATCCAGTACCTGAACACAGGCTCGTACCCAGGGAATAGGGGAATTCGGACCAGGTCTGTCCAGTTAACAAAAATTAAACAGGTTGTCAGCAACAGTAGACAATCATTCTCAGTCTTCACTTTTTGACTAGTGTAATTGTAAAGAGAAAAATATAGCACACAAAAATCAGCGGTTAACCTACAATCCTAAGAAGGTTCAATGTACATTCTTCAGTGGCTTTAAGTACTGCTGCACAAAACATACTTGCTCCACTCTTGACTTGTGATTCATCTCTAAAAATAAAGGGCCACAAAACTTCTTATAGTTGGTAAAAAAAGGTTTTGACCTAGCGCATTTTCTCTGTCACTGGGCCTGGCACAATGCCCACACAGTAATTCAAAACTCTGTATAACTTCAATTGTTCTTTTTCAATACTTTCCTCAATGTTTTTACTGTAGATTGGCACAACATACTGGGACAAAATCCACCATTTACTTACAGAAGGAACTATAAAATCAGTGAATGGGTAAGCAATACGGGTTTCAGTGATTGTTTAACATTTATGGATAAAACCCTAAATAGGCTATTACCTAACAGAAAGCTACATTAAGAAAAAGAGTAGAGCCTTAATACACAGAGTAATTGAATTATCATATAGAGAGTATCAGTATATCATGCCCATTCCATTCCTATCTCATCAGAGAGGAGAGCACGTTTTATCGCAAGGATAAGGAAAAGCATATTCTAATCTTACAAATATCAACATCTACTCCCTACTAATTATCTGCCTCAAAGCACTTGGGATATGTGTGCCATTAAAACTCAATATGCTGATACAGTATAGAAATGTTGCTGGAAATTGTATTCATATTTAAAGGCAAAAAAATTGTGTAAAAACATACATATTATCTTGTATTTCATATACTCAGACTAATCAATGGAAATTCAAGCAAAAAAGATTTGAATTTTTTCATCAAATCCCTTCTCAGACTAAAAAGTATTACATCTCAGAAATCACATTTATTCCAAATACAATGGGTGTGTTAACTTCCTTCCTTCTTTCAAGTAAAAAAGATTAGCAGCTCCAAGTCAGACCTAAGTAACTTAAAGTGCCAGTGAAAGCATAAAGATGTGACTGTACCATAACACATCCTGTGTGGTCTAGCTCTGCCACAGAGGAGAGATGCAGCCTAGAGCACAGCATTTCAAAATTCCAGATGAGTTTGTATAGCCTATACAAAAGCCCTTAGCACCTCATCTTCATAGATGTCAGATTTACCTAGAGGAAAGCTAAACTGATACACCTATGCTGCATATTCCAGCAGAGAGTAAAAAAAACCAAAAAAACCACCACAAAACTGTTCCAACTTCAGTACACATTACTGCCTATGTTTATTCTCCCCTAGGGTGGTAGGCTTGAAGATGTAAAGACAGGCCTGGGGAGAGATAGGAAGGAAGTATATAAATTCTTTTCAGAAGAGACAAAAGTTCCTTTCTTTTAAATCTGTCCAGATGTTATCAAAATGCTAATATACTACAGGTGAGGAAGGTTTTAGTGATGTAATAAACACAAAAACAATGGCATTACTAAATCTGCCAGTTTACCACAAATATTAACTCTGGACAGCCACCTTGAAGCAAGATACACAGAATCTCCCAGGAATTCAAAAAGCATATCCTTAAATGCAATTTCGAGGTGAAATGAACCATGCTTTTGGAGAACAGTAACATAAAGAGTCTCTGTAGAGTTTATGGACGTCTCAATTACACTGCTGCTCCACTTTCACACAGTTAAAAACACTAAGTTTCTGAAAATCAATATTCATGTCCAAAAGCGGGATTTTGTGTTATTTTTCAGTCAGATCAGTTCCCTGATCTGTTTTGACGAGCTGCTGCACAAGCAGCTGTATCAGTAGAAGGGAGGGAGTAGTGGAAGAATGGAAAAACATGTTTAAGCACATTCACATTAGCAGTGTTGCCAAAAGACAGTTTGATGCCTCAGGATGAAGCAAATAAGTTGTCAATTTTTCTTTAAAGCTAACTTTTTTGACAATGATATGTACTAGATTATTCTAGTACACCTATGTGTACTATTCCACAGAACTGTGCTAAATAACTAAAAACAAAAGAACCTGGCCTGGAAAGGAAGAAGCTTCACAGTACTAATAAAAGGATAATCTTTCTGTTTGAGTCAAAGCTTTTCACAATATCTGGGTGCCAATTCTATACTGCTGTTAAATAATGTCCTGAGTTATTGGCTTGTTCAAAAATCACCTATCCTAATTACTAATCCAAAACTTTAGTAGCCGATGCAGTTAAAGCACATTGTCCACTTTACTAAAAAAAATGAACTCATGCTGTGATTTAATAGTGACTTAACTGGGAGTCAGTTCCTTCAGTTTTGTTAGACCGAGTCTTACCGTTGTGGTGTTGAATAGTCATATGTCATGAGACTGAAGCTGTCTATTGCTGAGGCCAACTGATCAAATTCTTTCTTTGTGAACATCCCCGGCTGGTTGGTCCTTTTAAAAAAAGAGCAAAACAAAAATAACACAAAGAGATAAATTACTACAATAATCTGGCTTAGTCTCTCTTTTGGGATTCACACCATTTGATCAGGTAAGAAAATCTTTCATTCTGAGGTGGCAAAAGAAGATATTTCCATGGAATTCTTAAATGCCTAAGAGAAACAAATATTCAATGCTACTTATGCTGCCAGTGGGAAGAATCAGACTTCCACAGCATACTTACCAAAAAAAGTATTTCCATCATTGCTACAGTAGTGATTGTAAGGCTGTGGACTAATCAAATTGCCTTACGTAGCAATTAACTGAGCTCTAAAAGCTTTTACAAAACCTTCAATTGCTTGGTCTGTCAAACTGTTTTTAATATTTTCAAAACTAAGTTATCTGAGCCATACTTAAATAAATGGATGGGTGCAGCTGTTGATACAAAAACATAAACCAAAGGTAATTTTTTGATTAATCTCAAAATGAGTGGTAATTTCAGCTTGTACTGTACTTAAGAAATTTTCTCTCACTGGTGAGAAACACTTTAGTGTCTTTTCATTCCCTTACAAAAAAAGTCCTAAAAAGCAGAAGGCCTGTGCAACTTGCCTGATTTTAGCAAAAGACTATACAAACCTTTTTTCTTTCTTCTTTTGGGGGGAAGAAGAAATCCATTCTATAACCCTCTCTAGACAAAAGTCTAGTCACGCCTTCAGCATATCTTTGTATGAAATTTGGAACACAATTGTTACTTCCACCTTTTTTTGCTTATTCTTCATTTACAAAATCTAGCACTGGGTTAATATCTACCTGCATCATGGATGAGGGGGTATATTTTTGACAGTTTTGGACTCACAGAGACTATTGACTTGCTTCAACTATTCAACTCAGAAACAATTAATGGACACAAGTTGCCTGAAAACATTGAATCTGTTTCAAAGAGAATTCATAACTTCAAACTAGCAGCACACATAGCACAGCAGGGAACATAAGGAAGCCTTAATCACACTGCAAAGACGGGACTGAACTAAAACGGGGAAACTGCTGCCATGAGAAGCATGTTCTCAGCCAGAGGGCTCTGAAGCCAATTAAGATGAGACAGAGAGGTAGAGAAATAGCCTATTGTCCTAAATAGCCTGGGAGAGCAGGATTCATAGGTGAACATTACAAAAGAAAAGAAAAAGGGAAAAAACCCAAACCTGTTTAACAGCTACAAGCTCTGTGGTATGACTCTGCCATTCGAGAGCTGGCCTTAGAGGATTGTACAAGACTCCTCGAGAGAGATGGGGAGATAGACTAAAGAAACCAGACCTTCCCAGTAATATCAGAAACTGCTACTTGATCTAGAAATCAGTAGTCAACACCTGTTAAAAAAGATACGCATTAAACCCACTCATGTTCCATCTAAAAAGTAAAAACAAAAAGATGCTCAGTGACAGATGCAAGTAATAAACTGAAAAATCAATTCTTTTGACCCTTATCACTTTTGGATCAGTGTGCAAATTCTCCATCCAACAATATGTGCCAAGTGGATCACCAGAGCATAACATTGTTCATTTATCAGTTTACAAGGACACTTTCTGTTCCATCACATTAGGAAAGAGGTTAACAGAATACAGGTTACAAAGTGGGGCAAAATAAATCACTTAACACGCCTGTCATATTACAGGGGAGCAAACCATGAATGTTATTTGCAAGTCAGGTCAATGAACTTGACCAAACATACACTGGATTATGTAGCTGTAATTTGTATGAAGCGCAGTGGTGTTCTGGAAGTTTCAGGTTTTCAGAACCAGTGATATACTTGTCATATTAGGGAGAAATCCCACCCCTTTCCTTCTGGGGCTTTAACAAATTAAAACAAATCTTCACTTTTGGAACCTCAGCTTTTTTGTGAGTTATCTGCTTGTCATCTACTGCAATTGCAAACTCCAGCTTTTCCACAAGAATACAGAAAATGAAAGACACCTTTGAAACAATGTCATGGCAACTTGGATGTCTGTAGGCAACGCAATTCACCAACGCAAACTCCTGCAAAACACATTTTCAGTAAATTGATTTTGATTACTCATGAAGGGAAAAGCATAACAAGTAATTATAGTGTGTATTAGGCATTAGGGCAAGTTGGATTGCTTTATAGATTAAGCTGAGTAGTACTTTAATGAAACTTGTATATGTAACTTGTCCTCTACATCCATTCTTCATATATACTGTCAGGGAATATGGAGGGGGGGGGGGGAAAGAAAAAGAGAAAAAAAAAACAAACCCAGAACCAACGACAAATAAACCTCCCCCAAGTTAAAATGGATATTGTCATAATTTTCTCCAAAGCAAACTTGTAACTGAACTACTTCAGCTACAGTGGAATGCCACCTGAGGAGCAAGGTCATAAATTTCAAACTTAGAACAAAGCCAGCAGCAACAAATACACTTTTTCATTCATGGATAGCATTAAACACCACCATCCTTCAGCAGAAAGCACCACACACCAGCTCAATCAGCAGAACCAGTCAATTCTGCTCTAGTCAAGCTCTTTGGGAGACTGTCCACTGGAGCAAAAATAAGACTATTTGATTCATGCCTTGAGAATTGTTCTGACTCAAGAAAATTTGCCCTCAAGAACAAAAATTAAATATTTTTCAATAGCTATTTTGCTTCTCATTTGAGGTTTCCCAATCATTCCGATATTTAATCATAAACTTAACTCAAGGGCAGGTATGTTTACTGACTACATCGGTGAGAAAACAAGCACAGAGAAAGTCAAAAGGAAGCACAGAATAGGCAAAGTCCATGAGAATAAAAGTTTCCAAGTCTAAGCAAAAAAGCCTTCATTCTTCTAAGCCTTGAATACTGTTAGTAAAATATTCAGTAAAGTGGCAGAATCTTCATCATAATTTATCAGCACTGTACAAGATACATACTGAAGACAGCTTTTTATTGAATTGTCAGATAAAAATCACCAAGGTTTGAGTTATCTGCTCACTATGAACATCACAAATGTGAAGGAGCAGAAGTCAGGTGTATGAACTTGAATAGTAGAAAAAGCAAATTATTTAATACATCTGAAAAGTTGACATGGAATTAAACCTGAACTCTGAATTGCTTCATTTGCTTTATCTTTGAGTTCACCTTAAGACACAGTTCAAGAATTACATCTCATTTGGTGTCTAACAAACATACTTGTTAGAAGAGTGAAGTTGAACACTGAATACAAGAGAAATCTGCTGTTTAAAGAAACCTGCTCCTACTAGCCTGAAAATACACTCCAATTACGCAAAATGCACTATAAATATGAAATAATTTGGATTGAAGAAGTAAAATTAAGCAGAAAAGGGTATTCTTTTTATGTTAGCTTATACTACTTTCTTTTTATTGCTGTTCTAAGAGCAAGACACTTCACATGATATTTGCATTTGTATTTTTCTATCTCAATACCTTAAGCAAATGTCATTCAGTTTCCTTAACATTCTGCTCAAATGCACTAGTGTTCTTATGTGATTCTTATATCACTGTTCAACATAGTTAACTCTGAAACTTATTAAATATGAGCAACCCCCCAACTATTCAGGCTTGGAAACAGCCATCTAATCTCAGCCAAATTTCCATCTATATGGACTGTAGAAGTTGCTCCATGAGGAGAAATTCACCACAGAGATGAAATTTATGGCACTTTAACTGCAGTAAAAACCACCTCTGATACTATATATCCAAGAAATCATTTGTTTCACCTGAGGTCTTGATATAATATCCATCATGATGCCTATAGGACATTATCCCAGGTGCTTGTGCTGCTCAACAGCAGGTTCAACATGAGTCAGAGGTGTGCCCTGGCAGCCAAGAGGGCAAACCACATCCCGGGCTGTATCAAACACAGGATCACCAGCTGGTCAAAAGAGATGATTATCCCACTCACCTTGAGTACTGCGTGCAGTTATGGGGTCCACAATTTAAGAAGGATATTAAGGTACTTGAATGCATCCAGAGGAGGGCAACAGAGCTGATAAAAGGGCTGGAAAGAATGTCATGGGAGGAGCAGCTACGGATTTTGGGTTGGTCTAGTTTAGAGGAAAGGAGGCTGAGTTGTGCCCTCATTGCTCTCTACAGCTTCCTGAAGAGGGGAAGTGGAGAGGAGGTACTGATCTCTTCTCCCTGGTATCCACTGGAATGGTTCAAAGCTGCGCCAGGGGAGGTTTAGAGGACATTAGGAACCACTTCTTTACCAAGAGAGGGGTCAAACACTGGAACAGGCTTCCTAGAGAAGTGGTTGATGCCCAATGACTGTCAGCATTTTAGAGGCATTTGAGCAATGCCCTTAACAATATGCTTTAACTTTTGGTCAGCCTTGAAGTGATCAGGCAGTTATACCACATGATCGTTGTAGGTCCCTTCCAATGGAAAAATACTTGATTCTATTCTATCTTTTTTGTTCCTTTGCAGGGAACCACTGAGTTACTGAGAAAAAAAAAAATCACTCTACTTTTTGAGCATAATGTTCAAGACACAGAAATATTTCTAATAAGTGACAGTCCTTTTCTTATAGAGAACAGCTGTCCCCAAGACACATCAATATTTTTGCTTTAGGCCATCCTTTAGACGTGATGAGGCTTCCACCACACGCTTTTAAGAGATGCATTTTCTTGGATAAAATACTGACTTTCCTACTGAAACCGTGTTTACATGGCCCAGTATTCATTTCTTCCCATTCTTAGTTATGTCATTTTTGACATGACTAAGAAGCTCCTTCACTTTGTTGGGAGACTTGTCATTTCCATTTATAGGCTCCTGACTCAACTTTCTGCTAGAAAACACAGCAAGAGAGGAACAACCATTCCCCTGAGAACATAGGTCTTATTTGCACATATTCCTGACAATTTGTCAGTATTTCCCAATGGCACACTGCTATATGTATATGCAGAAACACTTACAGGGACAACATCACTTAAAAGAAAAAATCACCTCTTTTCCTTGGTATTTCTATATAAAAAGTTTAGAATTTTACAGTCTCTCTTTACCAT